CTTCCCTAGAAGCTTTTCATTTTGTTTTGAAAAGCAGGGGCTACATCCTGTGGTGCTCAGGGTTTACTCCTGGTTCTGTACTCAGGAATCTCTCCTGGCAGGGCTTGGGGTGCTGAGGATTGAACCCGGGTCGGTTTAAGTGCTTTACCCACTGTACTATATCCCTCTAGCTGCTTTAGCAGCATGTTAGAGGTAAGGCTGACTGAGCCCATTGGTGGAAGTGGGTGTGGGGTAGTTGAAATGGGGACACCGGTTCCCAGGAGGACCCAGGAAGGGGCAATCAAGAATTCAGTGTAGGGCCTGGAGCGATAGCACAGCGGGTAGGGCGTTCGCCTTGCATGCAGCCAACTCAGGTTTGATTCCCAGCATCCCATATGGTCCCCTGAGCATTGCCAGGAGTAATTACTGAGTTCTCTGAGTGCAAAGCCAGGAGTAACCCCTGTGCATTGCCGGGCGTGACCCAAAAAGAAAAAAAAGGAATTCAGTGTAGGTGGCGAGGGGTGTGGTGTTGTGTGTTCATGAGAAACTATCATTCACAGTATTGAGAAAAAAAGTACCTCAATCAATCAAAAAGGGGGAAAAAGGGAAGAATTCAGTATAGGGTAAACTTGAGATATAAAATCAATTAAGATAAAAGCAACGAGAGATCTTAATTATGCAGTGACTATGAATCTGAGGATTATTGAGGAAGTCAAAACTAGAGATCAAAACTTGAGGGCCAAGGGCCAGAGAGATGGCTCAATGGTTCACAGACTTTGCGTGCTGAAGCTCAGGGTTTGAACCCAAGTACTACACTGTATCTATCATCCCCTGAGCAATGCCTCTGGAAGAAAGCTAAAGGGAAAAAAAAAAAACCCAAAAAACAAATTAAAAAAAAACAAGATCACCCTTCCCCCACCCCCCACAAACAAAACAAAAATCCTGGTGGGTCATCAACTAGAGATTGAGTGCCAAAGAGAAAGCCTAAGTAGCTCAATGATATGCATTCCAAAAAGTAAGCCCAGCCCCGGGGAGCCTGAGTGAAAGGCAGGGTTCTCTACATCTGAATGGGCACTCAGCACTCAGCATTTACAAGGACGGAAGCCAGCGGGGCGTACCAGGTTGGGGTCGCATCCAGTCCCAGCTCGCTTTACATTTCTATGGCCACTCCCAGGCATCAGTGATCAACCTGGAGGCCCACTGCAGCTCCTGGGGTGAGAGGCGAAAGGATTACCCAAAATTCCGTGAGAAGACCCTGGGGACAGGGTCTCGGGCAGCGCCGGAAACCACACTCCTCTTCCTCAAACTCCAGCCTTCACTGCTGGGAAACAGTGTTCCCATCATGCTTTCTAGTGACCGATGGCAGTGACCATCAGACTGCTAAGGTCCTTACACCGGCCCGGGCACCCGACGCTGTCCGGTCCCCGCGGGGCTGAGAGGGGGGCAGGGGTGGGATGGGAGGAAAGCGATAGACGGCCCATCATTGTCTTCCTCGGCTGCCCCAACTGTTTATTTCTATCCCAGTAAGCGGGGACCGGAACTGGGGCGAGCAGGAGGAGGTGCAGGAGGAAGGAAGTCCTCTGGTTAAAAACAGCTCCTGTGAGCCGGGGAGGGAATCACTCATGCCCAGCCCACTCCCCCAGGCCCGACTCTACTACCTAAGTGTGGATTTCATTCTCCACCAGCAACCTATGCCCAGCTATGCCCATCAACTGTAATACATCACTGCCAGGCAGGACCCCCTTTGCCTTCCCGAGGGGGATAAGTTTGCACCCTCCCTCCTTTTTTTTTTTTTTTGGTGCAGTGCTTAGGGATGCAATCCAGCTCTCCTGTGAGCATGGCGAGTGCCTTACCTCTGGCCTCCAGGAAGCCCTCAGCCCACCTCTTCCTGACAGCACCACTTCCCTCCCGTGAGCGCTCCTGGGGATATGGCCCAGCTCCGAGATTAAGTCAGTTGCACTGTTCAATGCACAGAACGGAGTTGGGGTTTGGCCCCCTGTCCCCACCGCATGTCCGGAAGACCCACGCCCCCACCATACTGCATAGGGCAGCTCCTACAAAGGGGTCGGCTAGATGGTTTCTGCAGTTCTTCCTAGTTCTGTGGTTTCTCAGAAGTACGCGATTCTCTGGGGCCTGGGTCGTGGCTCAGGAGCACTGGCCTTGCGCACTGCCGTGAGGCCCTGGCTTCCTTCCTCAGCTCGCCCACAAGCTACAAACTTAACAAAAAAAACGGCTCAAGTCTCACAGAAGATGCCGGAAAGGCTTTTTTTCCCTCCTTTGGGCGGGGCGGGGTGAGGGGGACAGACCTTAGCAGTGCTCAGGGCTTACTCTTGGCTCTGTGCTCAGGGACCACTAGTGCTCAAACCTGGGACCAGGGGCTGTGCAAGGCAATCACCTGAACCTCTATATCACAGCTCTCTGGCCCCAGAAGGTCTATTTTGCTCCCTTACAGTGGCAGGGGGGTTAGAGCAATAGCACAGTGGGTAGCGCATTTGCCTTGCACACAGCCGACCCGGGATGACCCGGGTTCGATTCCTTCGCCCCTCTCGGAGAGCCCGGCAAGCTACTGAGAGTATCCCGCCTGCACGGCAAAGCCTGGCAAGCTACCCGTGACGTATTCAATATGCCAAACACAGTAACAAGTCTCACAATGGAGATGTTACTGGTGCCCGCTAGAGCAAATCGATGAAGTGGACGACAGTGCTACAGTGGCAGGGATCTTGGAACAAAGTCCCCAAATCATTTGGAAGGCATTGCCCATCCAGGAAAGTTGTAGGACTAAGTCCTAGTGAGGGGCACAGGAGGACCACAGGCTTCAGGATGGGACTGGCCTCCCTCCCTCTGTCTGAGGGAACATACAGGATGCAGGGATCAAACCCAGTTGTCCTATTCACTGCACTCTCTCTCCAGCCTTTCCTTTCTAACAGGCTAACTCCACTGCCATGCAGAGCCTGGACGGCAAGAGGGCGAGGAGGATGGGAGCGGGGAGACCCACCATCGGAGGTTTTTACCACACCCAGGAGGTAGGGCGTGGTGGAACCACTGGCAGGAATCCGAGGCAAGCAAAGCTCTTCCAAGTCCAGGTGTTGGAAAGGGCACAGGACAGGTGTCTGGCCCGGCCGGGCCTCCTGCACGCAGAGCACGCACACGCACCCTTGAGTTGTCTTCCAGCCTTATGGAATTTCAAAGCAAAGCTAGACTTTTGCCCTAGCTCCTCTATGAAAACTTTAGTTCTAGTTCTAAAGTTACAAGTGAAATCACTGTTATCACTGTCATCCCGTTGATTGAATTACTCAAGCGGGCACCAGTAATGTCTCTATTCCTCCCACCCCTGAGATTTTAGCAGCTTCTTCTTACTCCTCTTTTTCCAACGATTGGAGGCTTTTTCAGGGTCAGCAGAATGAGACCTGTTGTCATTACTGTATTTATTTGGCATATCAAATAGGCCATGGGGAGCTTGCCGGGCTCTGCCTGTGTGGGCGGGATACTCTCAGTAGCTTGCTGGGCTCACCAAGAGGCATATATTTATACATTTCTCTCTTCAAGTGAAATAAGTATCCATAAACCCTTGACTTAATCTACTGGGGACCATATGCAATGTCTGGGGTCTGGGATCAAATTGCTCTAGGGCAGAGCTTAAGAATTTTGAGGGGTGAAGAAATAATACAAGTGGGTGTGGTGTTTGCCTTGTACACAGCTGAGCTGGGTTCAATCACGGCTGACTTTGTAGTAGAGCACTTACATGAGACCCTGGGTTCAACCCCAATACCTGTCCCCCTCACCCCCTCAAAAGAAAAGCTTAGGGAGGGACCTGCCCATAATTTTTCAAGAGAAATAGATAAAAGGACAATTTTTTTTTTTTGAGCCACATCTAGGAATTAGTTTTGGTGCAGTCTGGGGGACCATACAGCATGTCAGAGATTGAATTTGTGTGGGCTGCCTGCAAGGCATGTATCCTACCTGCTGTACTATCTTGCTGGCACAGAAGATAACTTTTTTGCTGTCTGGAACATACCTAATGGTGTGTAGGGGACGATGGAACATTGAATATGGACCAGCCTCATGCAAGGCCAATGCCTGAACCCATGTACTCGCTCTCTCCTGCCCAGGCCTTCAGCCACCTGAGGCACAGTTCAATGTCAGGGCTAGAGGATGTGATGCTGCCTGGGCCTGTCGCGCAGGGGACCCAATGGGTCTGGGACCTGAAGCTGGGTCAGGTGTACACCTGGCACTAGTGTCACCTGCTGTACTAACTCCCAGTTTAGTTCAAACATCCAGTTTGGGGTCCATGAGATGGTACAGTGGGGAGGGGGCGCTAGCTTTGCACACACCCGACCAGGGATCAATCCATATGAGCCCTGCACCCCATATGGGTCCCTCAGCCTGTCAGGAGTTCAGTCCTGATTGCAGAGTTAGGAGTAATCCCTGAGCACCACAGGGTTTGGGTCCCCCCACTCCCCAAAATGTCAAAGGGCTAAAAGTGGAGCTAAAAGCACAGCGGGTAGGGCGTTCGCCTTACACGCGGCCAACATGGCCGACCCGAGTTCGATTCCTCCGCCCCTCTCGGAGAGCCCGGCAAGCTACCGAGAGTATTCGATATGCCAGACACAGTAACAACAAAGTCTCCAATGGAGACGTTACTGGGCCCGCTCGAGCAAATCGACGATCAACGGGAGGGCCTTTACCTTTACCTTTTACTGCTAATTTGTGTATTATAAAAAACTGGTTCAACAGATTACCAAATAATACTGAAGTTAAATAAATAAAGAGAAGTACTGTAAACTGGGGAATTAGGGCTTGTAGGACTAACAGCAACAGCACTGTCAAACTGCTTTCTGAAGATGCTGCTTCAGTGTTTGGGAATGCACCTTTGCAACACTAATGAGCAAGACTTCACAGAGGTAATCAGAGTGGTGCCATCGACCCTGGGGCAGGAAGGACAGGAGAAGCAGGTGGAGAAATGATGGAAATGCAGGAAATAAGACTGCGCAGGAGGGCAGGTGGGACAGCGGAATGCCAACCTCACACAGCCGTGTTCCTTTTAGAATCCCAGTGTCAGTGGTGGCATTTTATTAAGAGAAAAGTTGTTGTAAACACATAAGAAATTAGACCTTTTAATTAATAAACAAATTAAGTTTACTTAAAATTAGCTCTGTGACATACTTTTTCAAAGTTTCAGAACCTGGTCCCTAGTCCATGAACCACCAGGGTCCCGTGTGGCCGTGGCCAGAGCTTGGGGCCCCGGGACAGTGCACACCAGGCCTGGGGCCTGCACAGCTGCTGCGCACAGGGGCAGGTTTGGCCGGAGAGCTCCACGAGATCCCGGGCGGGCTGGGCTGTCAGAAGAGTTCCAGCACTTCGATGGAATATAAGTCTCTACTAGTTTTTTCTTGATTTAACTTCTGAAGTTCACGAAAACTTACTTCAATCTTGTTGAGTTCAGAACATATGCATATCTACAGAAAAAATGTTTCAGAATATATTAACATAATGCTCATGAGAAATTCTTCATGATTATACTGCTTCAAGGAGAAGGATTTTACACACACGCACAGACATACACATACATTTTACACACACACACACACACACACACACACACACACGTTGCTTTGGAGCCATACCCAGAAGTGCTCAGGGGACACAGTTTGGTGCTGGAGATCAAATCAGAGTTGGCTGTGTGGAAGGCAAGTGACTCAACCCTTGTACCACTTCTCTCGCCCCAATAATAAAATAGGGGGTATGGTGCAGTCAGCAGGTCAATCTGTACCTGTGAGGCGAGTGCATCAGCAGCCTCATGGTGCCTTCAGACTTCCAGATACCCCAAAATTGCTGCTGTGCCTTTGGCCAGACCCCAAAAACTTGGGGCAAAGGTTACCAAGAAAGTAAACGGCCAAAAATTAGTATGTGGGAGACACACCCACAAACCACCTTGGACTCAGCTATATAATTGGAGACAAGGCCGCTCTGGTTCCTTATCAAACTGCTTAATGGCCATGATCCCAGAGACTCAGAGACAAATCTTGGAACCCAGTGGCTTTTGGCAGAAATGCATCCAGTCCCCACAATACGTTACCGGCGCCGGACCATCCCAGAGGGAAAGGGTGCTATCCCTCCGCCTGCTCCCCCTTGGTTGCTCGGTGGCTGTCATCTTCCAGAGGCCATTGGATGGTCAGGTTTGGGCAATGACGAGACATGCACGGCTTCGTGGAATGGGGGTTGAGCTGGCCCTTTCCTCCCCGCCCTAATGAGATCCTGAGTCACCGCCAACGAACGGCCTCTTTGTCTCCTGATCAAACTGCTTAACAGACATGATCCAAGAGACTCACGAACAAATCTTGGAACCCAGCAGGTTTTGGCAGAAATCCCTCCAGATTTAATTGTTAAAATTTCAGAATTTCAAAATCGCGCGGCCACTACTGCAGCCGCTTGAGATCATACATTATTCATAACCAGCAATAGAAAACAAATTGCCTACTGTTGCCTTTTCGGCAGATCTGAGTGTTGGGGCAAAATCCCAAAAATAATGGTGGGTATGGTGTCGAAATATTGAATGTAATCAAAGTAGAGAGAGATAGGGCTGGAGTGATAGCACAGCGAGTAGGGCGTTTGCCTTGCACACGGCTGACCCGGGTTTGATTCCCAGCATCCCATATGGTTCCCTGAGCACTGCAGGAGTAATTTCTGAGGACAGAGCCAGGAGTTAACCCCTGTGCATCGCCGGATTTCACCCCCCCCCAAAAAAAACAAAAACAAAAAACAAAGTAGAGAGAGAGAAATGTGGAAATCATCTGCCCCAAAGGTAGGGGGAGGGTGTGGGATAGGGGGTATACTGGGGTTTTTGGTGGTGGAAAATGGGCACTGGTGAAGGGACGGATGTTTCACTGTATGAACGAGACTTAAACCTGAAAGCTTTGTATCTGCTCTCACAGTAATTCAATAAATAAAATTATAAAAAAGGCCAAAAAAAAAAAAATAGAATTTAGGCAATACTTTGGTCCAAACAGAAGTGTGTGTGTATATATATATATATATATATATATATATATAAAAAGATCTACAAACCTGGGATTTCACGAACTTGTAAAGACTTAACAGTAACCTTTTTGCTTCTGGTATCATGACGACGACAGTGAAGTTAGCATCTAGCAGAAGGCATATCCAATCCATGATCTGTAGACAAACAGGAATAAGAAAATGAAGACTAGTATTTTGTTATTTGATCCATACCTGGCAATGCCTAGGGGACTGCAGCGCCAGGGATCAAACCCAAGGCTCCCACATCAAAGCACGCCATGTGCTCCACTTCTTTGCGCTCTCTCCCCTGCATCAATAAAGATTTGATTATTTTGGGGCCACGCCACCATGTGGTGCTCGGAGCTACTCCTGGCTGTGTCTGGGGAACTGACTGTGATGCCGGGGATCAAACCAGGGTTGGCCGCATGCAAGGCAAGTGCTTTAACCCTGTACTCTCTCTGGCCTTAGGAAGTTAAGATGTTCAAATTTCAGTTAACATATCTTATAGCATTCACAGGCGAGTCAGTTGTGAAAAAAAAAGTTTTTTTTAAGTCTGCGATAGAGAAATGTTTTTCCTTTCTCTCTGAGGTGGGAGGGCAGTTGGGGGACATTGGGGGGCAACTCAGGAGACCCTCCCAGTGGTGCTAAGAACCAGCCTGGGTTGCCTGAACACAAAGCCTGTGCTCTGGTCTCGGAGCTCTTTCTGGCACAAAGAGATGGAGAAATTTCTAAGCTATAATATTTTAAAAAAATGACTTCTGCTTTGGGATTTTTTTCTCCCCTATTTTTAGCTTATAAAAATTCTTTTAAATGAATTTTGAAAGACACACAAATATGAGATGACTTCGCATGTGGCTGACCCTGTAAAATCCCTGGCACCAGAGGGTCGCTCTTGCACAGAGAACCAAGAATAGCCCCTAAGCACTGCTGGGTGTGGGCGAAACCCATGTCCTCAACTGAAGCTCTTTCATTAATTTTTTTTAATGGCGGAGTGAGGGGGTGGGGAAATAAAAGTTTTATTTAGAGAAAATATAAGGAGAGACAGTAAGTCCATATCTTAGGTTGTAATGTAGGCACCAGAGAATGCTACTGTTTCTTAATTTTTCAGGGTGTTGGGGGCTACCCAGGACCACTCCCAGAGGCTGGGTGTGCTATGCAGGTCTAAAGGTTCACAGTTGAGGCTGATGATGTGCTGTTTGGCCATGGCCTGCTGGGATCACCAGAGTCCCCCAGGATACCTAGGAGCTCCCTGGGCTGCAACCAAGGGTGCCTGAGAGACCAGAGGCGTGGAGGAGCAAGCCTGGGGACCTGCACACACAGCATCCACTCCAGCCTCCTGAAACCCTCAAGAAAGGCCACAATAAACCACAATAAACCAACCCACTAGTGGGTGGGTTTCCTGCATTCCCATTTTTGGGGTGACGCTCACTGCTCCCGCTGGCTCCGGAGCAGCCCTTTCCAGAGGTGCCTCACCTGGCTCAGGGTGGGAGGGTGTGTCCCAGGAAGTGTCATGGTCGCATTCTCATTGCACTTGAGATACAGGAAATACAAATAGTGAAGGAATAGCTGCAGAGGAAAGGAACAAATATTTTAAAACTTCAACAGAAAAGTTGCTCTCCACACAAAGCTAACAGGGTGGGGGAAGGACGCTTTTCAGAGGCTAGTCAATGGAACTATGTGTAAAACAAACGAAACAAACTGAGGATGGCAGGAAAGGCAGCAGTCAGGCAGGCACAATGAGGGTTTGCTGGCTTGGGAGGGCCCACGGGAGCTCTTTCTGCTCACAAATAAACCTGCTTTACAGGCTTCGGGACTCAGATGGGGAGGGGCAGGGGAGTGCCACGCTGAGATGCCATCCCACTCTCCAGCCCACCAGGGGCCAGAAACACCCACCCATCCCGAGGCACTGAACCATCTTTCAAATATCCGACACGCTGCTGAGAACAGAACGACCAACTTGAAAGCAGAAATAAAGCTCTGCAGGGGTAGGTACCACCACTTACAGTGACATGCTGGGCTGGGATGTCTTTCAAGTGTGACAGGAGGAAGGTCTCGCTATATGCAGAATGAAGAACTGCGTTTCTGCTTTGGAATAAAGGAAATTCTGACTTTGGTAAATTGCGAGTGTTGGAGCTGGGGAGAGCGCACGGTGCGGAGAGTGCCTGTTTGGAGTGCAGCCAACCCAGTGTGGATCCCCGTATCCCATCTGGTCCCCCAAGCCCCACCAGGAGTGATTCCCGAATGTGGAGACAGGAGTGAGCCCTGAGCACTGCTGAGTGTGGCCCCCCAAAGTCAAAGAGTATTCTACTGAAATGAGAAAAACCCCTTTCCTAGTATTACTGTTCTGAATTTATATACTGCTCAGCCCCTCTTTTTTTCCCCCCTAACTTTTGAGGACTCCAATGAAGAGCATGAGGGCTTAAAGTATGTCTTGCAAGCACCTTATCATGAGTTCAAATCCCTAGCGTTCCACATGGACTAAGCACAAACCCAGTTTGGTGGTCCCTGGCACTACTATTTCCAGCTGTGCCTCAGTCGGGTGTGTCTAACTACTACTAGAAAGGGGGGGGGGGCATCACAGCCAGCAAGACCCCTCTATCCCAACACATACACACAGTGAAACACCAGAGCTGTATCTTGTGCATACGAACAAAGTGCCACTGCAGGGGCTGGAGTGACAGCACAGTGGGTAGGGCATTTACCTTGTACACGGCCGACCTGGGTTCGATCCCCAGCATCCCATATCATCCCCTGAGCACTGCCAGGAGTGATCCCTGAGTGCATGAGTCAGGAGTAACCCCTGTGCATGGCGGTTGTGACCCAAAAAGAGAAAAAAAAAAGTGCCACTGCAGTGAGCACGTGCTTGAACATCTCAGCTCAGGGGTAGGATTTGGTGCCCAACACAGCTCTGTTATGTTTGAGTCCACAGTAGGGTATGCAGGCATCACTGAGGCACGCACCTACAAAGTAGGGGGGGAGAATAAATAACCGAAAAATTCTCACTTTTCTACGTTTTGTCGCTGAGCACTGACCATCAACTGACCTGGAATCTCACTTATGATAAATGAGCTGACCTGCCCTTCAGGGTGCCAGTGTTTAGTTTTAATACTAATTTTGAGAATATTCTATAACGTTTTTGTGGGTGTGTTGGTGCTGCAGTGCTAAGAGCTACTCCTGGCTCAGTGCTCTTGGCTCTGATTGCCCCCAGTAGCACTAATACCAGGCATCACCAAGGATCAAATCTGGGGCTCCTGTGCCCCTGCCCTGCCCATTTACTGTATTCAAGTTTTTACATGTATATTTTCTGATTTTTGGGGCCATATTTGGTGATGCTCGGGGGGGGAGGGGGCAGGGTTCAGGGCTCTGGGGTGCGGGGAATTGAACCCGGAGGAGCGCATGCAAGGGAAACATCTTCCTGGCAGTACTCTTGCTCTGGGCCCCCCTTTTGTAGACTGTGTTCAAACTTTTCTATTTCTGCTGCCTGTTCCCCACCATTAATGTCTGAGTCAGAGCTGAAGGTGTCGGGGAGACCAAGTAACACTGGGCACCAAAGATGATCAGCATATGCAAGGCAAGTACCTCAACTTGGACTCTCTTTCTGGCCTCTGGCCTCCAAACTTGTATTTTTTACTCTTTTGGGTCATATCCAGCAGTGCTCAGGGAGTTACTCCTGACTCCCCTCAGGCACGTATGGCACCGGTAACAGGGGTCAAATGAGGACTGGCTGCGAGCGAGGCACACACCTCTTCCCCCTGGTTATTCTGTCCCTCGATCTTATGATATATATATACATATATATATATATAGTCACACTCAGTATTGCTCGGGACTTACTCTTGGCTCTGTGCTCAGGGATCACTCCTGACGAGGTTCAGGGGAGCTCATGGGTACTGGGGATTGAACCTGGGTCAGCCGCACGTAAGGCAAGCACCCTACCCACTGTACTATCTCTCAGGCCCTCAGTTTTCTCTTTTAAACCAAAACTTAAAGTCAGTGTGGCTTAATTAAGAAAGCTGGTGTAAGCAAGCAATTTCAATGAAAGTAATTTTCAAACAGAAACTTAATGATCTCAGGATCCCACAACTGCTTGGGTCTGATGGAGCAAGGCTCGTGTCAAGGATACAGCAGAGCTGCTCGCTTTGGTACGACGGGGCAGGTGGTAGCTTCCTCTCGTGGGTCCTGAGGCCTCTCACACTTCTCACAGCTGTCTTCTTCAGGGGTGAAGCCATTCTGAAGAATTTCGGGCTGCTGCTCCATTTTTTCCTCGTGGGTAGCATCGATGTAGTCAGATACCGACTCCACACTGATGTCAGTGTCCTTGAGACTGTCATCGCCAATACTGTGCCGACCATTGAAAGCAATGCATTAACTCAGGAAAGGTCTTAGAAATCTAGTAACATTACAGATCAAAAAAGGCAGTGAAAGGCCTGCTGGCTCCTGAGTTACCTCAAAAAGATTTTCAAGCAGGCGCAGGTGGCGGACTCGGGGATGTCGGGGAAGTGCTGGAGGCAGAGCTGCAGGATCTGCACATCTGCGCGCTCCAAGGCAGCCACCAGAAGGCCAGGGCACAAGCTAGACGCCAAAAGAAATCCATCAGTAAAACCATCTCTACTCAACACGACTACAACTGTGCATAAGTCACGAGTCAGTGTATGAAAACTGGAACCTAGGTCTGGGGAATGTGACTCAAGTGGCACAGCCTGGCATGTGCGTGGCCCTGGGTTTCCAAAGAACATTTAGAGGGCTGGAAAAATGAGTTTTAGGGAGCCGTGTCTATGAAAGCTGGTGCACAGAAACAATTACCTGTAAGACAGCACATGCGTCTGGATAAGCTGCATCAGACAGTTGCGGGGATAAAATGATGGTTCTGCTTGACGGCGTTCCAAAAGCCCTGTGACGATGTCTCCAATGATCGTTTGAAAGTCAGGTGTCCGTTTAGTAGCTAAAAATTTACGCAGTTCCACTTCAATATGTTTTTCTGAGTCTTTCTGAAAAGGTGGAAGGAAAGGGATTCAATCTGGACCACTACAAACTGTCACTCTGATCTTAACGGGTTCCCAACATTTTCTCAAGTCACAAGTACCCGTGACAAGTATCTGGACATTGTGAAACTAGTGGATGTGACGTTTTGCCTCACAACACACAAAGGATGAAGGGCACAGAGATCAAAATGTTGGGAGCTTAAATGACCCATGGATTCAATGAGAATGGGACTGAGAAAATGGTACAGCCAGTGAGAGCCAGAGGAGCAAAGTATGAGCTCACCCGACAACCAAGGGCACCCAACAAACTGTAGAGACATAAAACTCAGGATGAAAATGAGATGGGATTCTTCTAACTGTTTGAGTTTTTCTGCTAATGTCTTTTGTTTCTAAGCGCCTCAGTGGCCGCTGGTGGGCACGGTTGGGTGACAGACTGCCCAGCTCTCAGAGCTCTCTCTCCCGCCTCGCTTCTGTTCTTCAAGCTTACCTTTATTGCTGAGAGAAGTTTAGATGCTGAAACCTCTTGCTGTCCACTCGTTTCGACTTTTCTTCTCCTCAACTACAATCAAATTAGGAGGTAAAATTAATACAAAAGAGCCCATGTACACTTGAAAGGGTATAAAATACCCCAATGATCATGCGATGCTTTTGTTATAATAAGGAACTTTCCAAAGGTACCCCTAAGGTAAGGGAAAGAGCAGAGGGTGCGTGCGACACCACCAGGAGCATACATCAAGGTTTTGAAACACACACATGCACGCACACACACGCTTGGCCAGAGATAATAAAACAGTTAAGGCTCTTGCCTTGACTGGGACTGACCCGGGTTCAATCCCCAGCACGACATATGGTCCCCTGAGCCTGCCAGGGCTGATCCTAGAGCACAGAGCCAAGAGTAGGTCTGAACACAGGTGGGTGTGCCTCCAAACAAACAAGTGGGAAAAAAGGGAAAAAAATTAGAGAAATATGCCTACCCCAGGAACTATGAAAATGACCATTTGATGTGCAATACTCTTTTTTGGTTAAAGGCTGTTGGTTTCCAGGTTCTGTGTGAAATTACCATGTTATTTAGATAAAATCTGATAGAGATGAAAAGAAATATTCTTTTAAAACTGTTTAATTTTGGGGCCACACCTAGAGGTGCTCAGCGCTTACTCCTGGCTATGCTCAGGACCATTCCTGGTGTTCTTGGGGGACCATATATGGTGCCAGGGATTGAACCTGGGTTGGCTGTTTGTGAGGCAAACACTCTAACCTACTAGTTTTTTAAATTACACATTCATTCTTCAATGCTTGCACTCACATCCCTGTAAGGCACGTAAGACTCACCGTTCTCTTTGATTGCTCTACGTTCTGGGATCTGTCTTCATTTTCCTGGGAAGTCTCCCAATTTACAAAATGGGACACAGTGTAAGAGCCTAAGAAAACACAAAATACACGTTCTGGAACTTCTTTACAGATTGCTCTCTCTCTCTCTTTTTTTGCTTTTTTGGGTCATACCCGGCAATACACCGGGGTTACTCCTGGCAGTGCTCAGGGGACCATATGGGATGCTGGGACTGAACCCAGATTTGTTGCATGCAAGGCAATCGCCCTACCCGCTGTGCTATTGTTCTAGCCCTCTGATTGGTATTTCTCAAGCAAAGCTTTCCACGCTGGAGCTCTGGGTACCACCTGGGCCCCAAGCATCATGAGAACAGCCCCCAGGTACTGCCCAGTGTGGCCCCAAATAACACCCATGTATAATTCAAGAGAAGTTTTCAAGTTGAATTAGTTCCACTGAGACCTCCCAAGCAGTAAACCAAGTTAAAAATCTGGCAGGAGAGACAGATCAGTGGGCTGCAGCTAACACTCTGTATGCAAGAGACGGGGTACAAACCCTGCTACCACATGGCCCCCTGAACACTAGTGAGAGTGATCTCCCAGCGACATGCTCACTATAGACCCAGAATACTGCCCAGTGAGCCTCTGTGTCGTGCACCCCCACCCCTGTGGTAAAAGGCTAAGCGCCAGCAACAGTCACCAACAGGTAACGCTGGGGCCATCTCACTTCTGAAGCCAGGACTCCGGAGTCACAAAGAGCAGAGCTTTGGAGTGCTGGCGCCACCCAGAGCACAGCTGGGTCAGCGCAGGTCAATGACTGCCGCCAAATGGGAACCCGTGGCTTCAGACACCTACCTACTGGCAGGCATCACAGCACGGGCAGAGGAGAGCGTGCTCGCTTTGCATGTCACTGACCTGGGTTCGATCCCCAGCACCCCACATGGTTCCAGTCTGCCAGGAGAGATCCCTGAGCAAAGGCCAGGAGTAAGCACTGAGCACCACTGGGAGTGGCCCCCAAACAGAAACGATCCCACCTATCAAGTTGGAAGCTAACAAAGTGGTTTATGGCAACAACGAATACATCTAAGATCATACCTGGTTCCTGACTATGCTTGAGTTTCCCAAGAGCACCAGCTAATGATGACACTTCACACTTATATGGAATCACAGTTAGAAATTTTCCATGTAGCATGAATAAATTCTCCCCATAATACCAGAGCTACCAAGAAATGTAACAGAAAAAAAGTTAGCAATATAACAAAGTTTTCTTCTAAGATCTGACTGAACAAAGTCATACAGCTATAACAATTTATGGTGGCAGGATAGAAACTGGGACCACCGGTGGTGGGAAAAGTACACTAGTGAAGGGACAGGTGTTGGAATATTCTATTACTGAAATCCAAGCATGAACAACTTTGTAAATGTATGTATCACTGTGATTCAATTAAAAATTTTTTATGGTGTGAGTAAGCTTAACACATTAGCAGAAAAAGAGAAATCAAAATTAAGCAGCTTTCTAGCATAATCTCATACATATAACTTGTTAACTAAGGTAGGTTCACACAATTCTTATTTTGCCCACAATAGCCCAAAGGCTGTGTGGCTTTGAAAGCAGCAGCCCTGAGGTGAATCCCTGACACAAGGCTCCCTGAACACTGCTGGAGGTGGCCTCCAAACCAAAACAACAATAAAAACAAACACAACTCCCCAAGTGTGAAAAAAAGTATGAAAACATACCTGAGCACTAGTGCCTTGTGGTAACTCCTTTGAAGCCTGTTGTGTCTGGAATTTTGTGTTCCATATGGCAAGGCAGTCTGTAAAATAAACAAAAGCAGAAGTCATCCCAAGTACAAATCAAGATGCCTCTGGGGAAGGTGGGAGCAGGGGGAGCAAGAGCTGAACATACACTTTGAGTAATAAAGAAATAGCTAATCACAGAAACGCAAAGAAATGAGACCCAGGAGAAGCAGTGGACAGAGCAGGAAGTCCTGTATCTTCCTCTCAATTTGGCCTTCAGCTTTAAATTGCGCTGACCAAAGTTTTAGTCTTGACAAAAAAAAAAAAAAAAACCCAAAACAGGGGAACCAGAGTACAGCGGGGAGGGCATTTGCCTTGCATGCAGAAAACCAGGGTTGGATCCCCATCATCCCACCTGGTTCCCAGAGCTCACCAGGAGTAATTCCTGAGTGCAGAGTCAGGAATAACCTTTAAGCATCACTGCATGTGGCCCCCAAAACAACAGTAGCAAAAAAGGACATTAGCCAGGAGAGTTACGTGGTGGCAAAGGTTTCTTTATTTTTTTTGGAGAGGGGTGAAGGGGACACACTCAGCAATGCTCAGGGTTACTCCTAGCTGTGCCAGGGATCAAACCTCAGTCAACCACATGCAAGGAAAATATGCCCTAACATCTGTACTATCTCTCTGGCCCCAAGATGTATTAAAGATTCAGCAAAGCAAACTGAAATCAAAGGTCTATTCAAGAAACATTTGAAGGTTATAACAATAATTTGACTGAAAAAAATAATTTGATGATAAAAGGAATAAATAAGTGAAAACGAACAATAGCAAAAGGGTCAGGATATAGTTCAAAGGGCTGCAGTGTCCCCTGGGCATGCAAAAGACCCCAGGTTTGATTTGGCATCATTTGATCTTCAGAGAATTGGTGGGTGAGCCCCCCCATACTCTCCCCACAAAATACATTCAAAAGTAGCCTTTGACAGGTTTTCCAAAGGGCTTCCTAATTTGCTGATTTCAGATACCTTTCGCCCCTGGCGATGGGGGTCCCAGCACTGCCACATGGTCTTGGTCCAGGACAGCAAGGGCAGCGCCACTGCGAGAGCTACAGGGCACCACATCCTTCAGCACCAGCGACCTAACAATCTGCCGACTCTTCTCTGTGTCGCTCGGATGCAGCGGAATCAAGGCTTCATACATGCACCCATCGGAACCTGGTGGAAACAACGTGGTAGTAAAGAATAGTTCTCTTTCTGTTGGAGGGCAACACAGAAAGCTGCTGGTAACATTTTAGCAAGTCCATACAGAAAATAAAAGTAACGGCTTACAACAAACAGTATCAGGGAGATGAGCAGCAATTGAGACCTGGATTCCGCCCCTGGCACCACATGGCCCCCCCAAGCATCACTGGAGCTTTGCTGAACAGTGAGCCAGTGAACCACACGTATGGTACAAACACAAAAATAAAGAAATAATTTTGAGAGAGCATTAAAATCTAGGGTGTGACAGAGTATAGCAGATAAAGGCGCTTGCCTTGCATGCCATCCACCTGGATTGGTCCCTGGTACAACATATGATCCCATAAGCACTGCCAGGAGTGGACCCTGAACCCCAAGGGTGTGACCCCAAAACAATCTGAGTCAGCACTAAGATTCTATAGCCATTAAATAAATTTCTGTGATAATTAAAAATTTTGAGAGGAAACAATCTGAGTAAATTTAGTTCCCCAATGCATGTATTTCTCAGAAGAAATTAATTAGTATTCGATTTCTACAATTTGTGTGACTTAACTCCATCACCATGAAATTAACATTAAGCTGCTGTGTGTTCAATGAATTTTTTTTTGCTTTTTGGGTCACACCGGGCGATGCTCAGGAATCACCCCTGGCAGTGCTCAGGGGACCATATGGGATGCTGGGAATCGAACCTGGGTCAGCTGTGTGCAAAGCAAACGCCCTACCCACTGTGCTATCACTCCAGCCCCGTGTACAGAGTAATGTTAAAGAAAAACATGTCAGCCCTTAGAATCAGATTCTCTTCTTTCAATGTTCCATAAGCTAAAACATATTTTGAAAACTTGAGTTTAACTTGAAAATGACTAAGACCTGGCCTTAGACCAAGGCTAATGGAAACCAGCTCCTTTCCAGCCCAAGTATCAAGTAGATTCCAACAATATGACAAATGAGTGCTTGCCTTATAGCTAGTGCAAACATTTGTACAATACAAAACTCTCTAAGGGGCCAGAGCCTGTAGGGTGTTTACCCTGCACGTGGTCAACCCCAGTTCAATCCCCAGCACTCCGTACGCTCCCCTGAACCCACCAGGAGTGATCCTTGGAGGCAGAATGGGAGTAAGCCCTGCAGACTGCCTGGTCTGGCCCCCAAACAAAAAGAAAATGCCAAGAAAACTTCCTAAAATTTTAAACAATGGTAACATGGAAATGTTTTCTAAACATAGCTGTTTTTGTTTTGCTTTTTAAAATCTAAATACTTTAGACTTTCCAACAAATAACCAAAAAGAAGCACAAGGGGGAGAATGTTATAAAGGGGATTTACCCCCCTTGGAGTGTAGAGGTTATGCTTTAGATCACTACACACTGGTAAATCCCCAAACACTATCTATTTTGCTAGTTTTTGGGCCACATCTGGTGGTACTTGGGGGCTTATTCCTGGCTGTGAACAGGCATCACTCCTGGTTCCTGGCAGGACTCGAGGAACTATGTGATGTGCTAGGGATTGAATCTGGGTCAGGTATGTGCAAGGAAAGTACCCAACCCGCTGTCCTACTGAGCACCACTGGGTGTGGCCCCAAACTCCTCCACAATGAAAAATAAAAATTTTACATTAAAAATAAAAAAAGTGGGGGGGCTGGAGCAATAGCAGTGGGTAGGGCGTTTGCCTTGCATGTGGCCAACCCGCATTTGATCCCCGGCATCCCACTTGGTCCCCCAAGCACCGCCAGGAGTAACTCCTGAGTGCAGAGCCAAGAGTAACTCCTGAGCATCACTGGGTGTGACCCAAAAAGCTAAAAATAAATAAAAATAAAAAAGGGGTGGGCCAGAGAGATAATATAGCGGTAGGGCATTTGCCTTGCACATGGCCAAGCTGGGTTGATTCCTAAGCACAGAGCCAGGAATAAGCCCTGAGTACAACGGATGTGGACCAAAACCAAACAAACAAAAGCCGGGAAAGGTTGTAGGATGCTTGAGAGATGGAACAGTACAGTGGGTAGGGTCAGGTGTGCCCCCAAGTCAATAAATTAGCAGATAAAATTCAGCCCTTTAATACTAACCTTAGATATAAAGGGACCCCCCCCCCCCCAACACCTATTTCTATAGGTGTCAAGTTATCAAGGCTTACTCTTTAGTCTGTGCTCAGGGCACCCTATGGGATACCAGGGATCAAATTCCAATTGGTTGTGTGCAAGTACCCTACCTACTGCTGCCCTGCCACCTATTGCTCAAGTCCCAAAGCCTTCTTTTCTTTTTTCCAGTGCCAAGACCTGAACCCAGGCCCTCACACACACAGGCGATTGCATACTGCAGTATGTGGGCCTGACCCTGAGATAACTGTTGAAGTAAGTTCTGTTACCTACAGCAAAGCCCTGACCTCATGCATGACTAAGACACGGCCCTTGCAGTGAGAGGCCCTGGGTCGACCCCGACTCCGCAGAAATAGCAATGAATGCACACCTGCTTACAAGGACGCAGAGAAAGGGGCAGCGCTAGAGTAAGACATGGAAACGCCTGAGACTCAGGCTGGAAACTCCGCAGTGCACTTCCATGTACAGTCGCTCAAAGCTGAAAAATACTTACTTAATGATAGCAGAGAGATGAACTTCCTACCCAGAGAGGCACTGAAACTCTGTATAACAGATTTCTCTTCTTGTCCAAGTAAGAGTGTGAATTTGTTTAACGCACGTGTATTAAATGTCTGTACATAAGCAAAGTAAGTTCCACGCTGCAAGAAATAAAAATTAGTTTTAACTAGTCATTTCTGATGAAAAATGAAGTATGGGGGTTTAGCCTATTCTGGCTAAACCTCCCAGAATAGGCTACTTTCAGGGTGTACTCCCAGCTCTGGGCTCTGGGATCATCTGTGGACTTAAGCCCTGAGCAAGTGCCTATGCTACTTCTCTGACCCTGGGCTAGTTAAATGTTAAACCCCATTTTCACTATTTCAATGAGTGTAACCTCTTGTTGAATCAAATAGTATTTAATTTAGGCACAGAGGGGTGGAGTGATAGCACAGCAGGTAGGGCATTTGCCTTGCACAAGGCTGACCCAGGTTCGATTCCCAGCATCCAATATGGTCCCGTAAGCACTGCTGGGGTAATTCCCTGAGTGCAGAGTCATAAGTAACCCCTGTGCATCGCCGGGTGTGACCCAAAAAGAAAAAAAAATTTAGGCACAGAAATAATTATAACAAAGAATTATAATTTTGTGGCTTGGGGCCACACCCAAAGGTGCTTAGGGATCACTTCTGGTGGCGCTCAGGGGGCCATATGGGAAGGTGGAGAGTGACCACGTGCAAGACAAGAGCCCTACCCACTGTACTATCCCTCCAGATCCATATAGCAGAGTATTTTTAGATTTAAAAAATATTTTAAAAATATTAGGTGGGGAAGGGCCCTGATCCAGAGGTGCTCAAGGCCTGGCTCTGTGGTCAGGGACTTCACGTGGCACCAGAATTCAAACCGCTGTCATGGATATAGGACACATGCAGGGCAATTTCCTTAACCTTCAAAACACTTTTTGCAGGGCTGGAGCTATGGTCCAGTGGGTAAGGCGCTTGCTTTGCATGCGGCCAACCTAGGTTCATCTGCTGACATTCATCCTGGTGAATCACCTCTAATCTTCTGAGCCATCACCCCACACCAACTCCAAATTTTTGTTTTAAAAATACCACAGGTGGGCCGGAGCAATAGTACAGCGGGTACGGTACTTACCTTGCGCATAGGTGACTCAGGTTCAATACCCTGTACACATGGGGCTCACTGAGTCCATCCAGAATGAGATTCCTGAATTCAGGGCCAGGAGTAACTCCCGAACATCACTGGATGTGCCCCCACCCTCACCCCCCACCCCCTAGCAAAATAACACAGGTAACTTTGAAATATTACAAAATAGGCCAGGGATATAAAGCACTTACTTTTTCAGTAATAAAAATTAAAACAGGGTGCCTAAACACCATGAAGACCTTTGTCCACCTGGAAAAGAAAAATAAATGATACAGGTGATATTTATCAGGTGCTTACAATATGCTGACATACATCTGCTCAGGTAAGTCCCCTAGTAACCCTCTTTTTACTCTTCGGGGGTGGGGCCTGAGGGTACACATGGCAGTGCTCATGGGGCCATATGTGGTAGGGGATAGAACCAGGAGGGGCTGCGTGCAAGGTCATCCCCTGTACTATCTCTCTGGCCCCAACGCCACTTCAGGAGAATTCATCAGGGCAGTCAAGTTTGTCCCTATCATTCACTATGTACACATCTTCTTTTTTAGAAACCTTTTGAGGGAAGTATGGAAAGATTCCTGGCAGCTACCAAAAGTATCCTGCCCACACGGCAGAATCTGACAAACTCCCCGTGGCATATTCAATATGCCAAAAACCAGTAACAATGATGGTCTCATTCCCCTGACCCTGAAAGAGCCTCCAATGTGGCACTTTTTAAAATCTCAGGGCTAGGACAAAGGAGATGTTACTGGGGCCTGCTCGAGGCAATCGATGACCAACAGGATGACAGTGATACAGTGATGGAAAGATCAGTACAGTGGAAAGGGACTTGCCTTATTTCCTTACACATGGCCAAGCTCACTTCAATCCCCGACACCCCATATGGCCTTGAGCCCTGCCAGGAGTAATCCCTGAGTGCAGATCCAAGAGTAAGCCCTGAGCACTGCTGAGTATGGCCCCAAAACAAACAAAAAAATGTTCTGAGTCACACCTGGTGGTGCTCAGGGATCCGTGTGGTACTAGCACTCAAACCCAGGCCACCCCAGGCCAACCTCAAAGCATGAGCTCGAGCCCTCTGAGCTATCTCCTCAGCCCCAAGTCTTTAACTTGGGAATTTAGTCTGAGACAGCACGTGAATAAGCAGCAAATTAACGGAACAGAAAATATGAGGAAATGATGGGGACTGGAGGTGCTGGTATCGTCTAATTCTCGCTCTCAGAGAACCTGGCAGGCTACCGAGAGTATCCTGCCCGCACGGCAGAGTCTGGCAAGCTCCCCGTGGTGTATTCAATATGCCAAAACCCAGTAACAATGATGGGTCTCATTCCTCTGACCCTGAAAGAGCTTCCAATGTGGCACTTGCTAAAATCTCAGGGCTAGAACGAATGGAGACGTTACTGGTGCCTGCTCAAGGAAATCGATGAACGACGGGATGACAGTAATACAGTGATACAGTGGAGGTGCTGGGATCAGGACATGTCCTTCCAACATTTAGGTTATCGTCCCACTTTTATTCTGGAATCTAGGAGAGAAGTCTGCGAGCCCACCATGATTTCAGTATGACAAACTGCACACTTCTCCAGCAGAAAGGGTCCAACCTCAGCTGACAGGGAACTAGAACAGAAACAAATATTCTGGTCTCATGGACTACCTGTCTCATTTTATACGACTGACAACTGGACCGGCATGACCCTAAAATTTCCTCAATCACCTATCCCTCTAGAGGCTTTTAGAGTTATTACTTTATTCTATTTATTTTGCTTTTGGGGCCACATCCAGTGATACTCAGGAGTTACTCTTGGCTCTGCACTCAGGAATTACTCCTGGATGTGCCCAGGGGGACCTTATGGGATGACAAAGATTGACCATGCAAGGCAAACTCCCTGTCTGCTGTACTATTGCTCCAGCCCCAAGGGGGTGTTAGTTTAGATAACAGAGGTTAATAACTAAAAAAAGTTGTCTTGCACGGGGGGGGGGGGGGGTGGGGGGGGGGGTGTCACATCCAACTGTGTCCAAGGCATATTCCAAGCTCCTGGCTCAGAGATTGCTCTTGGTGGGGTTTGGGGGATACTTTAGGGTGCTGGGGACCACTCAGGTCTGCCAGGTGCAAGGCAAGAGCCCTACCCACTATACTGTCTCTCCAGGCCCTCTCCAGCCCATTTATTCATCATTCGGTTCTTGGTTTGGAGGTCGCAGCCAGCAGAGTGCAGCAGACACTTGCACCTTGGTGCTCAGGAGTCACTGGTCACTCCTGGCAGTGTTCAACAGAAAACACGAAAGCTGGGAATTGAATCTGGGACTCCCCCATGTAGGTTATGTGCAACAGTGCAGGGTTATCATCCTCCCTGGCCCTGGTTTACCTTTGCTCCCCTCCCCCCACGCTCAAATTTTTATCACCAAAATGTTTTTAACAAAGCATATTTTATTATTATTTATTATTTCTTTTTGGGTCACACCTGGCAATGCACAGGGGTTACTCCTGGCTCTGCACTCAGGAATCACTCCTGGCGGTGCTCAGGGGACCATATGGGATGCTGGGAATCGAACCCGGGTTGGTCGCCTGCAAGACAAATGCCCTACCCGCTGTGCTATTGCTCTAGCCCCCAACAAAACATATTTAAAAAAGCAGCACACATGGGGGTGGCCAGGGGCTAGCCAGTGGTCAGCATGCTGGCCAGAGAGCGGATTGGGTCCCCAGCACCACCTCGTCTCTCAAACACTGCCAGGAGGACTGCGGAACAAGCTGAAAGTATCTCTTACGCATTGCAAGGTGTGGCCCCAATCTAAACGAACAGCAACACAGGGTTCATATTCCTTTTGGAAACTCCACCAAGGGTGGACACTTACTTAATAACTTCTTCCTCCGAGATCACAGCCTCGATGTCCTGCTGGGGCTCTGCCAGCAAGGCCTCCAAACCACGCACCGCGCCTTCCCTGAAGAGCACCAAGGGCTCTGTGCCTTGGATGGAGAGTATCCTGCAGACCTCGGCCGACAGCTAGAACACACGTAGTTTCAGTTCCACGCCACAGTCTCTGCCTCCCCATTGGGAAAAAAAGACACTGACGACTCATTTATTGTTAGCAGTGCTGGGGGGCAACCCCCCCGGCTTGACCTGGAGCAGGCACGGCTCCCCTGCTGAGCCACAGTCCTGGCTGCCGACTCCTACTCTCGGGGAACACTTGGTGCTGGAGATCCATCAAATTCAGGCCTTCTGCTTCGCTCAATCAACTGAACTCTTCTTCAGGCAAGTTTATTTTTGGGTTTTTTTTTTTGCTTTATTTTTCTCTTTGGGTCATACCTGGTGATGCTCAGGGGTTACTCCTGGCTCATGCACTCAGGAATTACCCCTGGTGGTGCTCAGGGGGCCATATAGGATGCTGGGAATTGAACCCGGGTCAGCTGCATGCAAGGCCCTACCTGCTGTGCTCCACAGGCAGGCTTATTTTTTGCTTTTTTGCGTCATCCAGCAATGCATAGGGGTTACTCCTGGTTCATGCACTCAAGAATTACTCCTGGCCGTGCTTGGGGGACCATATGGGATGCTGGGAATCAAACCCGGGTCAGCCGCGTGCAAGGCAAACGCCCTACCCGCTGCGCTATCACTCCAGCCCAGGCAGGCTTATTTTTAAACGACTAATTTGTTTTCATTATGATTAGATTTTTCCAACTACATAGGGTTCCAAAGTAAAATCTACAATATAAAATATTCAGAAGTGTAACTTTTGTTCTGATTCTGTTTTCTCCTATAATCTTTTTTTTTTTTTTTTTTGGCTTTTTGGGTCACACCTGGTGATGCACTCCCGGCTCTGCACTCAGGAATTGCCCCTGGTGGTGCTCAGGGGACCATATGGGACGCTGGGAATCGAACCCAGGTCGGCCACGTGCAAGGCAAACACCCTACCCGCTGTGTTATTGCTCCAGCCCCCTCTCCTATAATCTTTGCTATAGATTATAGCATATACTCCTGTGCTCCTGGAGGTGCCTGGGACACTGTGGTACTGGGCTCAATTCTTGGGCGCCTCCAAGTAAAACATGTACCTCAGTCCTCTGAGTTATCTCTCCTGCCTGAAATAGCCCCTCCTCACTTTTATTTACCTTCATTCTATCCTTCCACAGTGAATCCTGAAGGTTAGATTTCCACCTGCATCCACCAAAACGATGAGCAAGAAGGGCACCAATAAAATCCCATTCTGAAACCGTCATTCAAACCACAACCTACAAGCCCAGGAAAGTTAACACTGTATATATGTGGTCTGACAACCGAATCCCCTCTGTAAAGTTCACAATCTTGTTATATGGCAAGGAAAAGGCTGGGGCTTCAAGAAAACACGCATGGGCTGAAGATTAAGGTTTAAGTCTCAATCAGCTCAACTGTGAGCAGCTTCTAAAATGTGCCAACTCACAGCTGTGAATTTAGAACTGGAAGGAACTACAAAGATTAACTTAGTCTGAGATCCGGTTTTATACTGGAAAAGCTAATGAATATATATTAGGTCATGAATAGAGAGGGACTGTCAGGGCTTCTTTTTTGCCACAGCTGGCTGTACTCAAGGCTTACTTCTGGCTCGGTACTCAGAGGTCACCACTTCTGGCAGGCTTGGGGACTATATGGGGTGCCGGGGATTGAACCTAAGTCTGTCAAGTACAAGGCAAATGCCTTACCCACTACTAAGCTATTGCTCTGGTCCCAGGTTTTCTTGTGTTTGTTTTCTGGCCACACCAAGTGGTGCTCAGCACTTACTCCTGGCTCTGAGCTCAGGGATCACTCCTGGCGTTGTTCAGAGGATCAAATGGGGTGCTGGGGATTGAACCCTGGTCAGCTGGGTGCAAGGCAAGCACTCCACCCACTATCTCTCTGGCCCTGAGAGGGATTGATAGCATAACGTGTGACACTTAACAGGGTCTACTCTATTTAAGAAAATGCCAGTTAAGAGGGTGCTCGCTCTGCAGACACGAGGCCCCCTGAGGCTCCCAGCACATCTGGTGTGGCCCAACCCTCCTGCGCATCCTCTGCTCCCCAAAAGAAGGAAAAAAGGTACAGGTAAGATATATGAAAATAAGGAAAAAACTGATTATAATTTTATATCACTCTTAGAGATGCAGTAAGGAAAATAACTGAAGATTAAGGTTTAAGTCTCAATGAGCTCGACTGTGAGCGGCTTCTGAAATGTGCCTTCTAAAATACAAACTTCTTCATCTCAACAACAGGCTAGATGTTAAAAAAAATCCAAAGACTTACTGTAGCTTTAAACACTTTTTCCAGGTTTACGTCTTCATTATTCCATATTCTCAAAACCTTAAATCAAAACATAATGATTTAAAAAGTACTTCAACTGATACACCTATAACAAAGTTAACACTTCCAACATACGGTTTGTATTTACTTTATAAAAGTTTTAACACTTACCTTATTATCATGTACAATGATATACTCTCCTGTTTGAAAGTTGCACACGGCAGGGCATGTTATATTCTGACCTTGTTTCACTGACCAGCTCCCCAAGGGTTTCTGATCTGAAACCTAACGAAGATGCAATATTCAGTATTGATTTCAGACATTGAGAACACTTAAATTTACGACCAAAACAGAAGAAATAATTAAAATAATAGCACTTGGGGACTGGAGAAATAGTACATCGGGTAGGGTGCTTGCCAGTTCAATCCCCAGCTCCCCATACAGTCCCCCTGAGAGCCCCCAGGAGTAAGTGCTGAGTACTGCTGGATGTGACCTAACCCACGAACAATAATAATAGCACTCAGCCAATTCCTTAAATTAAAAATTTAAGAACAGAAAGACAAGTCCCGGATCATCCCGCACTGTCAGGATTGACACCCCCTCCTCTCCTTGAGCACAACGCCAAGAGTAAGTCCTGAGCACTGCTGGATGTGAACTTCCATGCGCACACACACATACACAACAATAAAACAAACAACAATGACAAGTTAACATTTTGTTAACAGTACACTTAAAAAACTGATTTCAGGTCAGAGAGAGCTCAAGGGGCTGGAGTGCCTGGTTTGACTTCACCTCATGAGGCTCCCTACCCTCCCACCCCAGCAATGGAGAGGAACAAGCCCCTAGTCCCCCAGGATGTGAACCAAAACCAGAAACTATACACCTGAAATGCTAATATCAACAACTTCTTAAAAAGTTTGAGGGGCTGTGTCACACCAGGCGATGCTCCGTGGTTATTTCTGGCTCTGCACTGAGGAAATCACTCCTGGACAAGTTCAAGGGTCCATATGGGACACCGGGAATCGAACCCTGGTCAGCTCCATGCAAGGCAAGCGCTTTGCCCGCTGTGCTATAGCACCAGCCCCTAAAAATAACTTTGAAAGGCACAGACCTTTTAAAATAGAGATACAGGGGCCGGAGTTATATAGTACAGTGGGCAGGACGCCTGCCTTGCCTACAGCGGACCCGGGTTTGATTTCCGGTACCCCATATGATTCCCTGAGCATCACCAGGAGTGACTCTTGAGTGCAGAGCCAGGAGTAACCCCTGAGCATCACCAAGTGTGCTCTTCCCCACCCCCAAAAGAGATATAAATCAGAAAAAAAAAAAACCAAGAGATTCCATTATGCCTTTAAACGGCAGGGGGAATTAAAGTGGGGCTGGATGAGATTGTGCAGGACCACAAATCTGACTTACTGTCATCAACTACAAAGTAGGTGGTGGCTTCTTAGCGACACTGCTCGGTCGTCAGGACAAAAGTGATGGGTCGGCGGGCCGGGAGGTGTGTAGGGGGACAGGGATGGGGACAGGGGGGCGGGACATCAAGGTCTCCGGGGACCCGGCCTAGAATTCACCGCGTCAGACTCGGCTGCGCATCAGGGGAGCAAGAAGCGAACTTCCGACGAACCTTCTCGTCTCCCTCCTGGTCTGGGGGGGGGGGGGGGCCACCCGGCCGAGGGCCACCCGCGCACGCCCCATCCATCAGTCCGTGAGGCTCTGCCGCCGCATCCCGGCGGGGGCCAGAGCGCCGGGTCCCCTTCGGGGTCCAGCCCGCGTGCCCTGGACGCCCAGCCGCCGGCCACTCGGAAGCACGTCTCTCCCCACGGAGGCGAGTCAGGTGCCGGACCCCGGCCGAGCGCTCACACGGGGCCGGGACGCCGCTGGCCCGCTCCCCCGAGCCCCGCGCCTCACCTTGTACAGGATGACGGTCCTGCCGCTGTCCGTCACCAGGAACTGGTCGGCTTTGTCGCTCTGCTCCACGCCCAGGAGCCCGTCGGGCCCGGCACCCAGGTGCACCGCGGACAGCGTGAACTCCTCCTCCAGGGCTGCCATTTTGGGCGAACCTATGCGCCACCGCGCGGCCCTCCCGACAGCCTTCGCGCTTCCTCTCGCGAGAACCTGGAGCACGACTCGGCTTTTGCCCAATGAGAAACCTGCTCCCGGACCTCCGACCCCTGTTGGGGCGGGGCCTGCAGCTGTCACCGGTGGGCGGGGCCTGATCTGGGTTAGCTCCCGCCCAGGCCCCGCCCCCACGTCCGAGAGGCTCCTGGAGTTGGCTGGGGGGCGTGGAATCCGCTACTCCTAATTCTGCTGCACACCTGCGAGAAGCTTGAAGGCGTGGGAAGGGGCCGAATGTGAACATGTTTTTTTTTTTTCTTTTTAATCATTTTTTTTTTTTAGCAGGTAGGGTGTTTGCCTTGCACGCGGCGAACGCGGGTTCGATACCTCCGTCCCTCTCGGAGAGTCCGGCAAGCTACCGAGAGTCTCCCGCCTGCACGGCAGAGCCTGGCAAGCTCCCCGTGGCATATTCGATATGCCAAAAAACAGTAACAAGTCTCACAATGGAGACGTTACTGGTGCCCGCTCGAGCAAATCGATGAACAACTGAACGACAGTGCTACATTGCTATAGGTCACACCTGGCGATGCTCACGACTGACCCCTGGCTATGCACTCAGGCATCACTCCTGGCGGTGCTCAGGGAACCAAATGGGAAGCCGGGGCTCCAAGCTGCGTGCAAGGCAAATGCCCTGTCCGCTGTACTATGGCTCCAACCCCGTAAATGATATGTTTTTATTGGGGGAGGTGGGTCACACCTTAGGATGCTCAAAGCTTACTGCTGGCTCCACGCTCAGAGATCATTCCTGGTGGCAGTGCCGGGACCATAAGGGATGCCTGGGATGGAACCTAGGTCTCCCGCGTGCACTGTACTCTCTCTCCGACCCCTGCTTATTTATTTATTTTTTTCTATTTAAGGGAATTATCTAGGAATCCCTACCTTTGCCTCATGGAACAATGTGCCAAATAAAAATTATTTCTCTCAAGAAAAACTCCTAATAATATCTAAATAACACTGAGTCCCTCAGCGATTCCGAGCATCTGCTACACAGATGTTGTCTTGTGTATGGCTCAGGCCTCCCAGGTTCTGTCCCCGCTTCCTCTCTAGCCCAAGGGGAAAGTCTACGATCCAGTTTACAGCAAACTCCAATCGTTCTGCTGAAGGTAAAGTTCAAGGTCTCCCTAGACAATGTTTAGTAAGATGTCATTTCCAAGAGAGATGTCTAAGATAAACATAACTGGTCTAATCAATTGTGTAAAAATATCAAGATTAAAAGAAGGTCTGTTGTACATGTTCTCAGGCAGAGCCATGGGCAAAGCTGGGTAGAGCAGAGATAGGCTAGACAGGGGCTAGAGTGGGAGGCATGAAGGTGCGGGAAGTGGCCCTCCAGGGTGTTGATCTCTTCCATCCAGGGCACCACTGCAGTCCCCTGAACACTACCACAAATGACTCCCCTCCATGAGCACTGCTGGGTATGGACCCCGCAAAAATATATTAAAACCAGGCCTGCCTGGAGAGAGAAAGGCAAAGTGTATGGTCAGGTCTGTCCCAGGCAACACATGGTCCCTGTAGCAGCCCTTGTGTGCACAGCCCTTGTGTGCACAGGAAGTAAGCCCTGAGCACTGCTTTGGGAAGGCCGGAAAGAGAGCCCGAGTGGTAGAGTTATACTTTGTATAGGCAAAGTCTGGTTTGGGTTGGGGGCCACACTGGTGTTGCTAGGGTTTAGTCCTGGCTCTGTGTTCCAGGATCTCTCCTGGAAATGTTCAAGGGACCCTAAATGGTACCAGGGATCAACCCTAGGATGGCCTTGTGCAAGGTAAGCACCCTCTGGTCTGTGTTATCTCCCTGGCCCAAGGCCTGGGTTTAAGCCCCAGCAAACACAGGGGAAACTACAGTGGAAACTACGTCTGTGGAAACTAAAAACTTAAGAGTTTTTATTTATGTGGATTATATTCTAGTTAGTACATTAGAAATGAAACAAAGGAACTAAATATAATGCATTTACTAACTTTTTTTTTTTTTTGCTTTTTGGGTCACACCCGGCAATGCACAGGGGTCACTCCTGGCTCTGCACTCAGGAATTATTCCTGGCGGTGCTCAGGGGACTATATGGGATACTGGGAATCGAACCTGGGTCGGCCGCGTGCAAGGCACACACCCTACCTGCTGTGCTATCACTCCAGCCCCACATTTACTAACTTTAAACCAGTAATCTTACTGCTTGTTAACACTTATGAGATGTCATCTAAAATAAATTAGTGAGAAATGTAGAATTGCTTTACATTGCTGCCAATCTCTTTACTGTTATAAAAGATAATCTAATCTGAGATGAGGAGAGAGTACAAGTGGGAGAGCACATGGCTTGGAGGTAGAAACCATGAGTTGCATCCCGAACACCTTATTTCCCCTAGCATGGCAAAGTATGGTTCCTGTAACAATAAATATCAGGGGGCCAGAGGTACAGTACAAGGGTTAGGAGCTTGCCTTTATGGGTTTTGTGCATCTGACCTAGGTTAGAATTCTTCACACTGTGTCTGGTACCATGAGCAATGCCAGGAGTCATTCTTGAAGTGGAGAGCCAAGAATTAGCCTTTGAGGGGCTGGAGCAATAGCACAGAGGGTAGGGCGTTTGCCTTGCATGTGGCTGATCCGGGTTTGATTCCCAGCATTTCATATTGTCCCCTGAGCACCGCCAGGAGTAATTCCTGAGTGTATGAGCCAGCAGTAACCCCTGTACATTGCCGGGTATGTAAAAGAATTAGCCTTTGAGTACTGCAGGGTGTGACCCCAACCTCCCAAAATAAAATAAAAAGAATAACCATATTTTTTACATCTTCCTCTGCATCAAATCCATTGTCCAGAAGCTATGTCATATATCTTCCAGACAGTTCTGTGGTATGTCATCAAAGAAAAAGAACATAAAGATTTCATATGAACTCTCTGAAAGGGTCTCAGGAATTCCAGCAGTTCAAATACCCTATCCCTGTGCTTGGACTTGAGTCAGGCCACCTGTTGGGACAGGGGAGGTCAAACTCTCTGATTCAGAAAAGAGGGCTCAGAGACCTTTCTGGAATTCTGGAGACTGGACTTTTAGTGGACACCTTTGATACTTTGCTTTGTTTGCTTTGGGTTTTGGGTTACATCCAACTGTGCTCAGGACTTACTTCCAGCTCTGCACTCAGGGATCACTCCTGGTGTGCTCAAGGGATCATATGGGATGTCAGAGAGTAGAATCCAGGTCAGCTGCAAGGCAGGCATCCTACAAACTGTACTATTGCTCCAGTCTCAAGTGGCAAACCATTTCTGACTATGGGCCTGGAAATAAGATTTCAAGGTTTTCCTTCTTTCTTTGGATGAATTGTGTCCATTTATTCCCTAGCCATCTCCTGAAAGTAATATATTAAATTAGCTTCCATCATCTCCTTTGTGGTTCTATTTGGTCATTAAGGTTAAGTAGAGCTAGAAGGATGGCCTCAAAAGAAATACAAATACAAACAGGGGCTGGAGAGATACTATAGCCGATGGGACTTTTGCTTTGCACCTTGCATATGGCATACCCAGATTTGATTCCTGACACCCCATATAGTCCTTCAAGCCCATCAGGAGGAGCAAACTCTGAGTGTAGAGCCAAGAGTAAGCCCTGAGCACCATTGAGTGTGGCCCCAAACAAATAAACCCAATGCCAAACTAGACATGTCTAACATTTGCTATGTAGACAGTCAAAGGAAATGTTTGGCAGAGAAATAGGAGCGTCTGTGTCAATGAGACCAACAAGCTTTCGTACTCCATTGCCATAATGAGCCATAAACAACAGATAAACCTATTATGTAGCAAAAAAAAATAAAAGAGGTCAACTAGAAGTCTAGGTTATGAATATAGTTGGGGAGCAAGAAAGATAGTATAGGAGGTAAGTTGCTTGCCTTGCATGCAGCCAAACATGGTTTGATCCTGAGTACTGCATTAGTCCCCTGAGCACTGCCAGGAGCCACTCCTGAGCACAGAACCAGAAGTAAGCCCTGAGAATTTCCAAAAAGCCAAAAAAAAAAAATCCAAAGAAAATGGCATCCCATTTTCTTTCTTTCTTTCTTTTTTTTTTTTTTTTTGACTTTTTGGGTGATGCTCAGGGGTTATTCCTGGCTCTGCATTCAGAAGTCAGGCAGTGCTCGGGGGATCATAGGGGATGCCGAGGATCAAACCTAGGTCAGCTGCGTGCAAGGCAAACCCCCAACCTGCTGTACTATTGCTCCACCCCGACATCCCATTTTCTAGAACTTACTAGCCTCTCAGAATAATGTGCTGTTTAGTCAAATGAATCCCCTCACACCTTGGTTTTCATGGCACCAACAATTGATTCACACAGGGATTTTTCTTTTAATCTTTTTTTTTTTTGCTTTTTTGGGTCACACTCAGTGATGCTCAACGGTTACTCCTGACTCTACACTCAGGAATTACTCCTGGTGGTGTTCAGGGGACCATATGGGATGCCAAGGACCGAACCCAGATTGGCCACATGAAAGGCAAACGCCCTCCCCACTGTACTATCACTCAGGCCCCCGTAAGTTTTTCTTTTGTTTTACTTTGTGTTTTGAAGTCACACCTGAAGGTACTGAAGGCTTAGTCCTGGCTCTGGCTCAGAAATCAGTCCTGGTGGGGCCTGTGGGACCATATAGGGGGCCAGGGACTGAACTTGGGTTGGCCAGGTACAATGCAAGTGCCTTACTTGCTGTGCTATCATTCTGGTTCCACATCAAGAGTTTAATACATGTTTGTTGAAAGAAATCACGTGTATGTGCACATCACTGTCATAACTGTTATGTGGGCTTGGTCCATGAAGACAAAGAGTTAGTATTTGAGAAAGCTGGAATTGCACTTGTATATTTCTCTGTAAAGTTGAGTCCAAGTTTGGTCATTGTTAAAGGGGTTTTGGAAGGAGACCAGATGTAACAAGAGAACTAGGAGTCTCCAACCTAGTCCAAGATAAGCACGGGTCAAAGTGGTCCACTTCCAAGATACATCAATCAAGGG